CACACACACACACACACACACGTGCACCCATGCATACATTCACACCCACGCTGTGGGCAGGTCCCCAATCCGATGCAGCCCATAAAGGAGCTCAAGCCTGTGATCCGGATCCACTGACTGCAGCCCCCACTCTGTGAGGGGGTCTGAGGTACCATGCTTACAGACACATTTACCTGCATGTTGTAGCCCAGAGCTGTGCATTTTAATGGCAAGAGGCTCCATTCAGTCTCCACCACACATGGCTGACCAGGAATCTCACCTGCACTGTCACTGCCTGACCTAAGTGTGTGTTTGGCAGAGTACTTGATGTGTTCAGTCACATTACAACTATTCTTAATTGGATACCGAAACCTGGAGTTAGTCTGTGACCCAGTGCTCTTGGCTCAAGAGACAGGGTCACTACCCACTGCCCCCACAGCTTCTTCCCCCTTTACTCCTGCTGTCTGCTTTCTGCCTTATGAGTCACCTTGTGACTCCCTCTTCATTTGTGGATTTGATGAAACCTCATTGGATGTCCCCTGGTAAACTAGACATATTACATTTACACACTGTCCTTGTCTACAGTCTGTCTAAAGAATTCAGTGAGGGTGATTCAGCATCACTTTTCCTTTTGGAATCCATGCTGACTATTTACTGTTGTATTTTTGGATTCTAGATATCATTCTGTTTTCTCCTTTAGAAGGTGTTCCATTATTGCTCATTGTAACATAGAAAACAGGAGCCAGAGTAGGTCATTCAGAAGTTTGAGCCTACTCCCCCATTCAAAATGATCATGGCTGATCATACAACTTAGTCTCCTGTTCCTGATTTCACCCTTACCATTTGGTACCTTTAACCCTAAGAACTATATTTAACTTCTTCCTGAAAACACTGGATGTTTTGCTGTATCTTCATACATCAGTCCTGCCATCCAAGGAATCGGTTTTGATTCAATCTAAACCTTTGTTGCGCTCCCTCCATAGTCAGAACATCCTTCCTCAGATAAGGAGACCAAAACTGCACAGAATACTCCAACTGTGGTCTCATGGATGTTAAACTAAGTGACCTATAATTCCCTCGGCATGCTCCAATTCTGTTCCTACTTCAGGTATAACTGTAATGTTGTGCCCAGCCCTCTGGCATTGCATTGTCTTCTAACTTCTGCTATTTCTTTAAATTCTGAATCAGAATCACAGATTCAAATGGAGGCATCATATCTGCAGGAGTTTGCTGAATGAGCAGTTCACCTCTATAGTTCTAGCATAGCCACCTCCTGTTCCTGCGCCTTCTCCCTATAACCCTTCACATTCTTCTTTTTCAGATAATATGTTTAATTGCGTCGTTAATACCAGTATCATGTCCAACCCTCTGTTGGTATATTCACCTAATCTCTCTTCCTGGTTAGAGAGGAGGCAGTGGCTAGTGGCATTATTACTAGACTAGTAATTGACAAAGTCAGCTAATGTTCTGAAAACTTAGATTCAAATCCTGCCACAGCAAATAGTGGAATTTGAATTCAATGTTTAAAAACTCGAATTAAAAAGTCTAGTGACAGTGAAACCATTACCGATTGTTAGAAAGTCCCATCTGGGTCACTAATGTCCTTGAGGGAAGGAAATCTGCCATCCTTACCTGGTCTGGCCTACATGTGATTCCAGACTCGCAGGAATGTGGCTCACTCTTAACTGCCCCTCTGAAATGGCCTAGACAGCTGTCAGAGTGTCTGGAAAAAGGAAACTGGACAGACATGAACCTACTACAAATTGAAGGCAAGTCATGCCACCACCTCCTCAAGGACAACTAGGGATGGACAGTAAGTGCTGGCTCGGCATTGAAATGAATAAATTTGTTTATTCCCGTACCTGAATAAAAATAATGGTGAAGCAAGATAAATTCCCTGGGGTAACTTGATCCTGACCATCCCGTTGCAATCAAGCCTTCCCAGTCTTTCTCTCTGTGACTGTAGTGTACAGTGTTTTCTGTTTCTTGACAGTTTGGTTTCAGAGTTTGAAGCACCAAGTGTCTTGGTTTAAACGTAGTGAAAGGAGTTGAACTGGCCCGGAACTGCTATATCCTAGGTTCTCCCCATTAAATGGGGAATTGCAATGTAGGAGGAGTAGAGAAGTAAAGATCCACAGCTCACAGAGTAGGATTGAAAAACCTAGTGTGTGAAAGTGTTGCTACAGAGGGAATCCGGAAACTGAGCAAGCTATTATTCCATCCTCAATTAGTCCAGGAAGTATGAAAGAATAATTTTAAAAAAGAGTTTTACTCACTCATGGGAAGTGGGCATTATTGGCCAGGCCAGCATTTATTGCCTGTCCTGAGTTGCCCTTGAGAAGGTGATGATGAACTCCCTTCTTGAACCACTGTAGTCCAAGCGCTGTAGGTAAATCCACAATGTCCTTAGGGAGGGAATTCCAGGATATTACAGTAAGGTGCTGCCTGAGAATCTTTGGTGAATTTCTGCATTGCATCTTGTTGATAGTACACACTACTGCTACTGAGTGTTGATTGTGGAGGGTGTGGATGTTTGTAGATGTGGTGCCAATCCAGCGTGCTGTTTTGTCCTGTATGGTGCCAAGCTTCTTGAGTGTTGTTGGCTACACCCATCCAGGCAAGTGGGGACTGTTCCATCACACTCCTGAATTGTACCTTGTATAACCAAAGTACTGGATGTGTGCATTATTTGGCATTCTGCCCCACTGGGCCACCTATGGGCTAATACTACCCCGATGCCGTACAGGGAGGTATCACATGTCAATGCCAGATCTCACTTGGGATCATAGTGTGGCAACACCTTAGAGGATGATGGCTGTTTCTTCACTTCCCTGAAAGCTGTGGCTGGGCTACGCAACCATTTCCAAGGCTGACCCTTTTTTTCAGAGTTGATGCAAAGGTGCTAGGATGGAGGCCAGGTTATGTATGAACTTTCTGTAACGATTCACCAGCCCAAGGAAAGACCTAATCTCTGGTACAGAAGTGAGAGCTGGGGCACCTTTGATCCCCCTCACTTTATCTTCCAACGGGTGTAACCCGGTCTTGTCAACTCTGTAGCCCAAGTAGGTCACATGGAGTGCCTGGGACATACGGTTTTCCTTTCTAAGGCATAAGCTGACCTGGGAGAAACGTCTAAGGACAAGTTCTCTAAGTGGTCCTTATTGGTGTCCCCTGTTATTAACACATCATCTAGATAAAGGGCGACCTGGGGTAGACTTTGTAAAATGTTCTCCATCACCCACTGAAAAATTTCACAGGCTGATGATACGCCAAATGGCAGTCTCGTATATTATGATAAGCCTTATGGGTATTAAATGTAGCCTACATCTGGGAATCCTCATCTGTCTGTAGTTGCAAGTATGCATGGACGCATGGTTCGTGTCCAATTTCGTGAAGGACAGCCCCTCCCCTGCCAGATTTGTGTGTAAATGCTCTATGCAAAGGATTAGATTTTTATTCAGCTGTGAGAAGTGGTTTACCATTGGTTTAAAATCCCCATAAAGGCAAACTGACCTGTCGGATTTCACAAGTCTGCCCATTTCACAAACTGGATTGGTTTGATGATTCCATTGCTTTGCAGCCTCCTGATTTCTGCCTCTACCTTTGCCCGCAGGCAAGTAGCACTGGGCAGGGTCTTGTAGAATGGTGGAATTGCTTCCTGGTCAACGCACAAGGTGGCCTAGGCTCTTTTGATAGTCCTCAGACTTCCTTGAAAAACATCTGGGTATTCAGTTAGAGCTTCAGTCAGGCAGCCGTTTTCTAATTAAAACTGTTCAGCCAATCTTGGTGAATCTCTCACAGCCAAATTCGTCCCATCAAGCTCGGGCCTGAGCCTTTTACTACAGTCAGTGGTTAATGAGCCAGTTACTTTTCATAAGAGACCAGAACCGAAGTTGTACCCTTAATCTGTAAAGGTTCCCCAGTATAGGTTCTCAGTCTAACAGAGGTCTTATGCAAACTTAAGGTTTGGAGTCTGGAGCAAATTTTGTCAAAGATTGGTTCTGCGATCACTGAAACGGCCCTGCTGGTATCAACCTCCTTTAGAACCTGTTAACCATTTGACTAGATGTTCGTTTTGTTTAATTTGGATATTGCCAAGCAATTTAACTCTTTCCAAACCAGATGTAGGTGGACTTTCCAGGGTATAGAGTTTCCTGGATACTGGCGTATGAGTTCTGTTACTCAATTTTAGGTCTAGTGGGACTCTTGCTGTCTCAAGTCCACATACCGGCAGCAACTACAATGGCTTGCTGGCCCGGACCCTGAAGAAAATCTTAACTGTTTGGCTGAGGCTTGGCTTTCTGTTGGGGTTTTGCAGTGAGCTGACCCAGAGTCGCTCTGTTCAGGGTATGTCCTGAGTGAGGCTGTGCAATTGCCTTCACTAAAGTGGTGTTCCCATGCTCAGTCAGCCTGGCGAGGGTGTCCACTTTCATTGGAATACTGTAAAACCCATTTTCCAATGATAAAGCCTGGTGTAGTTCCTGTTTGAAGTCCAGTTGGGTTTCAGCTAGTAAGTGCTTTTGCATGGTTACATCATTAACCCTGCTCTCGTCAGCGCTGAAATAACTCCGTAGAGGCCAGTATCCTGTCATAATGTCACCCTTTATTCACACGTGGAGACTCCTTGACATTGTTCCAGCTTCCTCAGAGCCAGGTCTCAGAGTGAACAGGATGTCTGACACTCCTGTTCTTATCTGTCAGCCAGGGCTCCCTGATTGGACCAGATTAACACCTGGGTAACCTCGTTACATCACTACAGATGGTGGACAGGGTTTGGGGAGTCAGGAGGTGAGTTACTCATTGCAGTATTCCTAGCCTCTGACCTGCTTTGGTAGCCACTGTGCTTATGTGGCGAGTCCAGTTCAGTTTCTGGTCAATGGTAACCCCCAGGATGTTAATTTTGAAGAATGAGTGGGCAACAAGATGGAGTATAAATTGGGAATGATGAAATTATTCACTTTGCACATCAGAATAATGCAAAGTTTTTTAAAAACATGTGAATCTTGCCCTTAATGTTCAAAGACTGTGGCATCCCTGTGAAACTTTGATCCTACAGTTTCAATTGAGGTGACTGCTGGTAATACATTAAATTGTTGTCGGGGGGAACTTAATGGGATTTGTTGGCTGAGAGCAGGCTTGGGGTTGGGCATCATTGGCTGAGAGCAGGCTTGGGTATGGCGGTCATTGGCTGTGAGCAGGCTTGGGGTTGGACATCATTGGCTGAGAGCAGGCTTGGGTATGGCGGTCATTGGCTGAGAGCAGGCTTGGGGTTGGGCATCATTGGCTGAGAGCAGGCTTGGGGTTGGGCATCATTGGCTGAGAGCAGGCTTGGGTGCGGCGTTCATTGTCTGTGAGCAGGCTTGGGGTTGGCGGTCATTGGCTGTGAGCAGGCTTGGGGTTGGCGGTCATTGGCTGAGAGCAGGCTTGGGGTTGGTGGTCATTGGCTGTGAGCAGGCCTGGGGTTGGCGGTCATTGGCTGTGAGCAGGCTTGGGGTTGGCGGTCATTGGCTGAGAGCAGGCTTGGGGCTGGCGGTCATTGGCTGACAGCAGGCTTGGGGTTGCCACTAGGTTTAAGATGGTAGGTTGGATTTGTCAGATGGACTTAGTGAAGTCTGCTGATGGTGTGATTAGAGGATCCAGTGTGAACCATCTCCCACTGCGCCTCCACATTGAGCTGACAATTCAGAATGGGTGAGAAATCTTGCAGTGACTTTGCTTCTTAGAAAGAAAGACTTAGATTTATGTTGCACATTTCATGCCCTCGAGTGACCCCAAAGCACTTTACAGAAGTATTTTATCAAGTGTAATTGTATTGTGATATTAGATATATGTCAGACAATCACTCTGCAGTAAGCTGCCTTAGCAGCAATGTCTTAGAAACCAGATCATCCTGTTTTTTATGGTGGTGTTGTTTGAGGGATTAAATGTTGCTCAGGATGCGGGAGTTGGGCAGAACTGGCCCTTGGTCCTTAGCAAAATAGAGCTGTGGGATCTTTGCCGTGCCCTCAGAAGAGCTTTGAACATTCTACCGGAAAGGTGACCCTTCTGGCATGGCCACACTCCCCCAGCACCACGCTGGAGTATGTGTGTTCCTGTTCCTGCCTGAACTCACCACCCAAAGCCCATGGTGACAGTCAGATCTGCCAGAGGCTAACACAGCCCCTGTTTTAGATCAGTCCTGTGAGGCTGCCTTAGGTCAAGCTTCACACAGCAGTGATGGGAGTGTGCAGAAGTGTCTGAACTGAGAAAGGTGGGACAAAGCCACCAAGCATCAGACCTTGAGTAATCTGTATATCCCACTTTGGCAATCACTTACGGATTGGCCAAGCCTGGATTTTCAGATGAGTCCACTCTATGCTGACTAGTTTCCAGCGCAGATAATTTGACTGGTGCCCACAGAGCCAATTGATCTTCCTTTGACTAACCTTCCAATGAGAGAACTGAGCAGAGGGAGGCACTTTGTTGAATGAACAGCCGACAGTAGCCCATTTTTCACTTCCCAGCCATGAGCCATTGAGCAGAAACTGCAAGGCCTGATTCTTCCCATGACCAAGATGAGGGTTTTGCCCTCATCCGCTGAATGGTAGGGGCTTTGCTGAAGGTGGGTAACTGCTGCACAGTGCTGGTGGAGATGGTGTTGGGGGGGTGACTGCGATGAGTTGTCCCAGGTTGGTCTGCACAGACAGCTGACATTCTTTTCTTCCCCCTCTCTCAGTTAATACGGACAGTGAGACGGCGGTCGTCAACGTGACGTATGAAACAAAGGAACACGCGAAGATGTAAGTGATGAACGTCGCCTGGGGAAACGTTGTCACCAAATCCCCCTTCATTTTCGTATGCGTTGTATTCCATTCAGCCTAACGTGGCTGCCTTTGTAACTGTCTCATACTTTGCACATTGCTCACACTCACTAACATTACTTCACAAAGTACTGTACCCCAGTGTTATACATACTGACAGCCCTGTCCCCTCTAGTACTGTACCTCAACATTAAAGTGTCAGACGTGTCCCCACCAGTACTGTACCCCAGTGTTAAACAGTGACAGACCACTCCCCACCACTATTGTACCAAGTGTTATACAGTGACGAACCTGTCCCCACCAGTACTGTACCCCAGTGTTGTACAGTGATAGAACTGTCCCCACCAACAGTGTAACCTGATGTTACACAATAACTGAGATAACAAGGTGTAGAGCTGGATGAACACAGCAGGCCAAGCAGCATCATAGGAGCAGAAAGGCTGACGTTTCGGGCCTAGACCCTTCTTCAGAAATGGGGGAGGGGAAGGGCGTTCTGAAATAAATAGGGAGAGAGGGGGAAGCGGATAGAAGATGGATAAAGGAGAAGATAGGTGGAGAGGAGACAGACAGGTCGAAGAGGCGGGGATGGAGCCAGTAAAGGTGAGTGTAGGTGGGGAGTTAGGGACGGGATAGGTCAGTCCAGGGAAGACGGACAGGTCAAGGGGGCGGGATGAGGCTGGTAGGTAGGAGATGGGGGTGGGGCTTGAGGTGGGAGGAAGGGACAGGTGGGAGGAAGGACAGGTTAGGGAGGTGGGGACAAGCTGGGCAGGTTTTGGGATGCGGTAGGGAGAGGGGAGATTTTGAAGCTTGTGAAGTCCACATTGATACCATTGGGCTGCAGGGTTCCCAAGCGGAATATGGGGTGCTGTTCCTGCAACCTTCGGGTGGCATCGTTGTGGCACTGTAGGAGGCCCAGGATGGACATGTCGTCTGAGGAGTGGGAGGGGGAGTTGAAATGGTTCGCAACTGGGAGGTGCAGTTGTGTGTTGCGAACCGAGCGTAGGTGTTCCACAAAGCGGTCCCCAAGCCTCCGCTTGGTATCCCTGATGTAGAGGAGGCCACATCGGGAACAGCGGATACAGTATACCACATTGGAGAGATAACAAGGTTTAGAGCTGGATGAACACAGCAGGCCAAGCAGCATCGGAGGAGCAGGAAAGCTGACGTTTCGGGCCTAGACCCTTCTTCAGACGGTTTCTCATACCACATTAGCAGATGTGCAGGTGAACATCTGTTTGATGTGGAAGGTCTTCTTGGGGCCCGGGCCCGGGATGGGGGTGAGGGAGGAGGTGTAGGGGCAAGTGTAGCACTTCCTGCGGTTGCAGGGAAAAGTGCCGGGGGTGGTGGGGCTGGTGGGGAGTGTGGAGCGGACGAGGGAGTCACGGAGAGAGTGGTCCCTCCGGAAAGCAGATAAGGATCGGGAAGGAAAAATGTCTTTTGTGGTGGGGTCGGATTGCAGATGGCGGAAGTGCCGGAGGATGATGCTTTGGATTCGGAGGTTGGTGGGCTGGTACGTGAGGACGAGGGGACCCTTTTTTGGTTGTTATTACAGACCTGTCCCCACCAGTATTGTATCCCAGTGTTGTATCATGGCAGACCTGCCCACACCAATACTGTAACCCAGTGATATACAGTCACAGACCTGTCCCCACCATTACTGTACGCTAGTGTTAGAAAGTGACAGAACTATCCCCACCGGTACTGTAGCCTAGTATTATACAGTGACAGACCTGTCCTCAGCTATACTCTCTGATGAACAACAAATGGAGCCCATGAACATCACAGCTGAAAACGACATTGTAACGTTACACACATTCACATTGAGCATGCCTCAGGCAGCTGCTGTGTGTGGGCCTGGACTGTGACTGTTGTGTGTTCCTCTGTACTTTGTCGTATCAAAGCGTTGTTCCTCAATGAAATGCAGGTGAGCACACGGAACATGTTGGTTGTTGATCTCCATCCAGCAGGGTGGAGTGCAGACTATTCGACTCGATGTGATGTGTTTTTGTTTCCTTGTTTTTCTCTCTGTTTATTTCCACACTCCTTCCTGGCTGATGAGACAGGTTGTACAGTCAAGTGAAACATGCGAGAGCCACCAACTGGGCACCGATGAGGGAGCTTTTTATACCCTCTGAGAGGGCAGGGTGTAGACCCTCTCTGGGGGCCTGGAGTTTAACGTGTCGCCTTGAAGATAGCTCCTGCGACAGTGCCGCACTTCATCAGTGATGCAGCAGAGCAGCGCCTGAGCCCCACGTCAGTCTGTCTCTTGAGGCGAGACTCTTGCTGACTGACCTCTCACAGGCTGCTGGTAGAGATAATTTGAGCTAGCTTGTTACCGTCCGCTACAGTGGTCTGAACCCACCTGATTCCCCACCGATGGCGGGGACTGTGCTGACTGCAGCCTGATGAACATTCGGATTGGAGGCCCCTTGGGAATGTCAAGGAGCACGGGGCGGACACTGGTCCCCCAGGACATGAGTCAGTGTCCAGTCTGTGTCCTAGGTCACCTGGCCCTTACAGGGCACTGAGGTAGCTAAGGGGTGGGTGGGGGGAGGGCGCAGTGGTCTTCCAGGTGAATGGACCCCCACCCCCTCTGGTCAGACCTCCCTCTGTCCGTCTGGGCTGGAGAGTGCTGCATGCAGCAATCCCACGTATTCGTAGACTGGGTCAGTTCACAGGGTTCTGGAAGAAGCAGTTTTCCATGCTTACCTCGAATGTTTGCAGCCCCCCCCCCCCACTGTAATGTTGATCGTTTCGAAGGGAATTGTCTAAGACCTGTGGTTGCACTTCAGGCCCACGCTCCTGATCCAGGGCACACTGCGTGGGCCAAAGTAACCACTAACCAATCCAGGCAGCGGGCCTTAAAGCGGGAGCCGCTATCTGACCGTCTGCCCCTCATGGTCTGGTTGGGCCGAATTTCCCGTTTGCTGAGGGTGTGAATAAACGTTGGTGGCGAGGGGAGGGGAGTGGGGGCGGAGGTTGGTGCCGGAGGATGCCCCAAGTCTCCGGGCGGATACAGTGATGTGAAGTGTGAAACCCTGTGTTATCTCGCAGTGCAGTTGAGAAGCTGAATGGACACCAGTTTGAAAGGTACGCGCTGAAGGTCTCCTACATCCCTGACGAGGAGGCCATGCAGCCCCCAGCCCCGAGGGCGCGGCGGGGGCCCGGGGGCCGCTCCAGCCGGGATCACGGCCACTCGCCTGGACCCCCGCCCCCGCCCAAGCAGCTGGACGTGCCCCTCCGCATCCTGGTGCCCACCCAATTTGTGGGCGCCATCATCGGCAAAGAAGGACTGACCATCAAGAACATCACCCAGCAGACCCAGTCCAAGTAAGCAGCCACCCTGCGGGCATCGGTGGGGAAGGGGGAGGGGGTGCGCAGGGGTTGGGGGGCAATTGAGGAGGGTGGGGCTGGAGGCGGCGAGGGAGGTGTCATTGTCAGGGGTTGGGGGAGAGGTCAGTCAGTGTCGTGGGGCGTGGAAGGGGGGCTGTCAGTATCGGGGGGGTACGGGGGAGGGGTTGGTCAGTGTCATGGGGTGGGGTTGGGCAGTGCTAAGGTTTGGGGAGGGAAAAGGGGTGGGGTCTGGCTTTATTGTGTGTGTGTTGATGAGGGGAGGGGAATGTTGTCGTTGTCCAGGAGTGTGAGGTTGGCAGGGAGTTACCTGTCGGGCAAATTCAGTTCCCCCGTTTGGTTACAAAATAGATTGAGGCCGCTCGGCCTGCTGTATCCATGCTAGCCCCTCTTAAGAACACCTCATCCCTCTCACTACCTGTTCCCCGTGGCCCTGCAATGTTGTTCAGTTCAGATGAGAGTCTGTTGCAGTGTTTAAAGCTCTGGTTGACCCTGACTCCAGCCGGCTGTCAGGGCAGAGTCTCCCTGGATCCCAGCCACTCGCCATTGCTTCTTTTCCCGAACATCCTAAGCCTGCGCCCTCCTGGACCTCCCAGTCTGCAATCCTTCTGGATTTTCAACCTCTCCATCTCCTCTCCCCTCGTATCCCTCCACACCAGGGAGGTGGGCTGTGGCGGGGGAGAGGGCTGATTGGTCAACCCCATACACCCCCACAATACCCTGCCCTGAAATCTCCAAATTCCCTTGCCACCACAATCCCACACCACCACCCCACAGAGCTCTGTGTGGTGTGAATTGGATCTTTCCCAGTTTGTGTATGAACCTTGTGAGATGCACTGGGGTCTAGGCAGCTTCTACCTTCAGCTGTTCAGAGACCAGGAGCTGCCTGGAGTTCCTTCCATTGCTCTATGGTCTTGGGCTCATCATGTAGCCCACCCAACCACTCCCCCGCCCCAAGGAACAGTGAGTGCCATAGCTGTACCTCCCCACAGTCCTTTGACAGTTATGCTCCCCATACCTGACACATGTTCCTCTCACTCTTCCCCCTCCCTGCAGAATCGATATCCATCGAAGGGAGAATGCAGGAGCCGCAGAGAAAGCCATCACCATTCACTCCACAGCAGAGGGCTGTACAGCCGCCTGTCAAATGATCCTCAAAATCATGCACAAGGAGGCACAGGAAACCAAATTGTAAGTAGCCAGTGAGCGTGACTGGTATCTTAGTGTTTGCTGGAACTTGTGCAACAGCTTCATTTTCAATTCATGTCTGTCCGCACTATCTCTCTCAATCTCCCAATCTCCTAATTCTCCCATTCTTCTCACTGTGTCCCTCGATCTCCCACTTCCCATCCATCTCCCACTCTCCTCAGAGTCTCCCTCACTCCCCCCACTCTCCTCACTCTCCTCACTCTCCTCCTCGATCCTGCCACTCTCCTCACTCTCCCCAGCTCCCCCCATTCTCCTCACTCTCTCCCTCTGATCCTCCCCACTCTCCTTACTCTCTCCCTCGAACCCCCCACTCTCCTCACTCTCCCTCGATCCCCCCCATTCTCCTCACTTACCCTAGCTCCCCTCATTATTTCGATTCCCCACTCTCCTCCTCGATCCCTCCACTCTCCTCACTCTCTGTCTCGATCCCCCGTCCACCTCCATTTGCTCCCCTGTTTCTACCTGGACTTGCTGTGACTGGTTCTGGGGAGAGTTACAGACATGTTGCTGATTATATGGTCATTTCACTCTTTTTGTTCTAATCTTTTGGAAGTCCTGGCCTCCCCCTGTAAACACACCTGGTGAAAAACCCAGCTGTTCTCTCGCCTGCTTCCCTCGGTCTGATTTTTCATTTCTCTCAATGTTCCTGCTCCTCTCCCTCTCCTCTTCAGCGTCCAATCAAGTCCTCTCAGATTAGATTTTGATGCAGAGTAAATCTCCCTTTCCCAAGCCTCAGTTGAAACTGATGAGGAAATTATAGATGCTGTCGTCATAACCATGCAACACCTTGATTTGGGAATCTCGCCCTTGAATCGGAAAGTCACCAGTGTGACTCCCAATGTTTGAGAGGGCCCCATGCTTGCTGTGGGCAGTTACTGGAGTCACTTATTGGGACAGGGTGACCAGACACTTGGACAAATATTGGGTGTGAAGAGAAAACCGTGCAGATTCACCAGAATAACACCAGTTATAACAGGGCGAAGATCAGAGGACAGGCTATATTGATGGTAATAGCAGATTACAGGGTGACCTGTTTGAGATGTTTAATTCAGTATCTCAGACACTGAGCAGAATGGGGGAACATGTTTGATCAGTGTCCCCTGGCTTTCAACCCTACCACCCTTGGGAGCAGTTTCTCCTTTGTCTACTCTCTCTCTCCGTACCACCTCTCAGCCTTCTCTTTTCCGAGGAAAACAGTCCAATCTATCCACGTAATTGAAGTGTCTCATCCCTGGAACCGTTCTTTCTGTCCTTTCTTGAATGCATTCATATCCTTCCTAATGTGGCACCCAAAGCATGAAGCCATAGGCCACACAGCTAAGACCAAACCAGTGTTTTATAAGATTCACTATAACATCCTTGCTTTTGCATTCTCGTCTCTATTTATAAAGCCTATGATCCCGTGTGTTTTATTAACCAATTTCTCAACCTTCCAGCTTCGATGATTTGTGCGCATACACCGCAAAGTCATTCTGCTGCTAGACGTCCCTTTCGACTTGTGTCCTATATGTTATACATCCTTCCTTATACTGCCTGCTAAGATTCATGACTTCATATTTCCTGCAATAATATTCATCTGACCACTGTCTGCCTATTCTACTAGCCCATCTCTGTCCATAAAAAGCAATAATTAAAAGCATAATAAAAGCATAAGATAAGGATGCATGGCATTAAGGGTAAAGTATTAGCATGGATAGAGGATTGGTTGACTAACAGGAAGCAAAGAGTGGGGATAAATGAGTGCTATTCTAGCTGGCAGTCAGTGACTAGTGGTGTGCCTCAGGGATCGGTGTTGGGACCGCAATTATTTACAATTTATATAGATGATTTGGAATTGGGGACCACGTGTAGGGTGTCAAAGTTTGCAGATGACACTAAGATGAGTGGCAAAGCAAAGTGTGCAGAGGACTGTGAAACTTTGCAGAGGAACATAGATACATTGAGTGAGTGGGCAAAGGTCTGGGAGATGGAATACAATGTAAATAAATGTGAAGTCATACATTTTGGTAGGAGTAATAGTAAAAAGGATTATTAATTGAATGGTAAAAAGTTGCAGCATGCTGCTATGCAGAGGGACCTGGGTGTCCTTGTGCATGAATCACAGAAGGTAGGTCTGCAGGTACAACAAGTAATTAGGAAGGCAAATGGAATTTTGTCCTTCATTGCTAAAGGGATTGAAATAAAAAGCAGAGAGGTTATGTTGCAGCTGTACAAGGTGCTGGTGAGGCCACACCTGGAGTACTGTGTGCAGTTTTGGTCTCCTTACTTGAGAAAGGATGAATTGGCACTGGAGGGGGTGCAAAGGAGGTTCACTAGGTTGATTCCGGAATTGAGGGGGTTGGTTTATGAGGAGAGACTGAGTAGATTGGGATTATATTCATTGGAATTCAGAAGATTGAGGGGGGATCTTATAGAAACATATAAAATTATGAAGGGAATAGATAAGATAAAAGTAGAGAGGATGTTTCCACTGGTGGGTGAAGCTAGGACAAGAGGGCATAGCCTCAAGATTAGAGGGAGCAGATTTAGGACTGAACTGAGAAGGAATTTCTTCACCCAGAGGGTTGTTAATCTATGGAATTCCTTGCCCAGTGAAGTAGTTGATGCTACTTCAGTAAATGTTTTTAAAAAAAAAAGTAGATTTTTTTTGAACAATAAAGGAATTAAGGGATACGGTGAGAACGCAGGTAAATGGATCTGAGTCCACAAAAGGATCAGCCATGATCTTATTGAATGGCGGAGCAGGCTCGAAGGGCCAGACGGCCTACTCCTGCTCCTAGTTCTTATGTTCTTATGTTCTAATTAGCTTTCTCACAGTTTATAACAACTTGCAAGTTTTGAAAATTGTGTCCTATATCCTTATCAATTATTGGTCATTGTTATGGACCAGACTAAACCCCCTCAAAATATATGAAGAAGTAACCTAGACCCTAACTTCTTATTTTAAAGGCAAGTGCCAGGTGTTGCGTTCCAGAAGCAATTAAATTGGTCAAACTACCCAACTTGAAGCAAAATACACTATATAGGGCGGCACAGTGGCTCTGTGGTTAGCACTGCTGCCTCACAGCGCCAGGCACCTGGGTTCAATTCCACCCTCAGGCGACTGTCTGTGTGGAGTTTACACATTCTCTCCGTGTCTGCCTGGATTTCCCCTGGGTGCTGCAGTTTCCTCCCACAGTCCAAAGATGTGCAGGTTAGGTGGAGTGGCCATGCTAAATTGCCTGTAGTGTCCAGGGATGTGCAGGCTAAGTGAATTAGCCATGGGAAATGCAGGGTTAGATCGAAAGGGTAGGGGGTGTGCCTGGGTGTGATACTCTTCGGACGGTTGGAGTGGAATTCAATGGGACGAATAGCCTACTTCCATACTGTAGGAATTCTATGATTCATACACTATTTTTAAAATACAGGAAAAGAAAGAAATGGAATAACTTAACTCTAAGGGAAAACTTAACAGAATAATAGATTATTTAACTACTAAACAGTAACTGTTCCAATATCGTAACATCTCATAAACACACGCTTGGCAAAGGCAAATTGAGTAAAACAGATTGTCTCATATGCAACTGTAGCAGCAAGAAGAGAACCCCAGCTTCTATCTGTAATGGAAAGAGGAGAAACAGCTTCCACATCCAGCTTCAAGACCCCAGCAACTGCAGAAAGATAAAACTAAAAATCTTGGTCTGTGGGAGGTTGATCCACTCATTCAGGCTCACAAGGGCCCAGGGCCTCACAAGCTTCATTGGCTTTGAGCAGACTGCTCAGTATCTCTTTCTCAACTTTTCTTCATAAAAAAGCCAAGACAAATTGCACTTCTTAAAGCCAAAGTATTGTCACAGTCATGAATACCGAGCAAGAAAAGCATTAGTTCCTGCTCCCGGCCCATGGGAAGCTCACTGAATATCTTCCTTAGGCATAAATAAATGACCATTCACTGCCACTTTGTCTTTCTTGAATCCCTACGGTGTGGAAACAGGCCCTTCGGACCAACAAGTCCACACCAACCCTCAGAGCATCCCACCCAGACCCATCCACCTAATCTACACATCCCTGAACACTATAGGCAATTTGGCATGGTGAATCCATTGAGCCTGCACATCTTTGGACTGTGGGAGGAAACCGGAGCACCTGGCGGAAACCCACACAGACACGGGGAGAATGTGCAAACTCCACACAGACATCACCCAAGGGTGGAATCGAACCCGGGTCCCTGGCGCTGTGAGACAGCACTGCTAACCACTGAGCCACAGTGTCTTGTCCCTCGGTCAAAGTTGTACCTGTGTTGCCACCTCTGTCTGTTTCATTCCATGGGCTGCACCTTTGCTGGCAACCTTGCTGTCCTGCACTGAGTCAAACACCCTTTGGGAAGACCACGTCCACCACATCCAGCGCGTTACTCTCATCCACCCTTCCTGTTATTTCATTGGAAAAGTTAACCAGTGCTGGCTTTCTTCATTAGTCCACGCTTGGTCAACCCTTGGTGGGGTGGGAAACGGATTATAATTCTAAAAGCTTTGCCGCCATGAGGGATTTATTTAGATTTATACTAGCGGTGCTTTGTTTTGAACAAGGGCTATCACAGAATGATGAGTTGAAATGCCAGCCTGCCATGATCTAATTGAGTGGGCGGAACAGGCCAGAGGTGCAGAATGACCTCCTGTTATAATGTTCTATCAAGTACTCCCAGGACAAGATGGATTAGATACAGAGTAAAGCTCCCTTTTGCACTGCCCCAGCAAAGAGCCTCAGGTTCATCTCAGTCATACCAGTGCAATGCGCACTCGTTGGGTGTCTCATTGCGGAGGGTGGGAGGAAGTCTGTGGACGTGACTCTGTGTGTGTGTGTGTGTGTGTGTGTGTGTGTGTGCCTGTGTGTGTGTAAAATGATTGTCCATGCATTTTAGCGCTGAGGAGATCCCGTTGAAAATCCTCGCTCACAACGGTTTCGTGGGGCGGCTGATCGGCAAAGAGGGACGTAACCTGAAGAAAATGGAACAGGAAACAGAGACCAAAATAACCATCTCTCCGTAAGTTTGCCTGGTTGTGGAGCTGGACACAGAACCTGCACAATCTGGGCTGTGGGGATTTTAAAGAGAGCTTGGGTTTGTGAGGCCAGTGTTTTGATTATATTTTTCTCTGATTTGTCTGAACTGTAACCTGTTGCCTGTCTTCCATCTGAGCCCCGTCTCCGTCACTGAACCGTCAAACACAAACAGAGTATGTACAACATGGGTTAGACAAAGTAAAGCCCCCTCCCCAGCTCTGAACTGTCATATCAGACCCTCCCAAGACACAGTTTAGGATGCAGAGTCACAGAGCGTGTGACACAGCGTGGACACAATTCTTTTGGCATTCATTGATGCACAATGAAGAGATGTTACGTTACTGGAAGGGGATGTTCCTGGAAAATGTGGGGTTTTTGTTGTCGGGGTGGAGGGGTGGTTTCGGGGAGGGGAGAAGTTGGGGGAGATTTTAAACAAGAAGGAAAGAGAATATTTGACAAACGTCACTCCTTGTATGCCCACTCCAAGAAACACAGGGCGCAGTCCCAACTGAACTGGGGAGGGAGGGGTGGGGGGTGGAGGATGGTGGGTGGGGGGTGGGAGTGATGGGTGGGAACCTCCTACTTCTCCTGGCTGTGAGCCCCCCACAGTGCAGCTTGAAGGGGACTGCTTTGGGACTGTCACAGGGCGCGGTGTGACGGATGCGTTATCGGAGGTGCGCTCGCAGCAGCAGAACGTTGGAGAGGCGTGTGGTGTCCGGTGTGTCTGCGTTCTAAAAGCCTCTTTGTTGTGGCTGGCCAGGTTACAGGACTTGACGCTGTATAATCCAGAGAGGACCATCACTGTAAGGGGCAGCATTGAAGCCTGCTCAAAAGCTGAAGTAGAAATTATGAAGAAACTCAGAGAGGCTTATGAAAATGACCTTGCTGCTATGAATGTAAGTTCCATTTGGAGGGCTTTGCCTGCTTGTAACTGAGGGGTTCACTGAGAAAGCTTGCCTTTTCATATTGCATGCAGCTCACGCAGTTTACAGAAGCAGAGAGGAGTGGAGTGGGAGCAGGCAGGAAAGTGGAATAACAGGCACGGGGGGGTCAGCCGTGATCTGACGGAGCAGGAGAGAGGGACCAAATGGCTGAGTGCTAATTTGTTTGTGTATAACTATACTGCTGTTCTGTCAGAGTTACTGGGTCAAAACAGAGTCATAGAGATCCATAGCACGGAAAAAGGCCCTTTGGCCCATCGTGTCTCTGCTGGTCAAAAACAACCACCCAGCTGTTCTAATCCTGTATTCCAGCACTTGTCCCAAAGCCTTGTACGCAGTGGCATCACAAGTGCACATCTAAATACTGCTGAAGTGTTATGAAGATTTCTGCCTCTGTGACCTTTATAAGCAGCGAGTTCCATATTCTTACCACCCTCTGGGTGAAAAGGTTTTTCCTCACTTCTTCTTTAAACCTTCTGCCTGTTTGTTATCTTAAATCTATGCCCCCTGGTCACTGATTCCTCCATCAAGGGGAAAAGTTTGTTTCTACCTACCATATGTATGCCTCTTATAATGTTATACATCTCGATCATGCCCCTTCTCAATCTTCTCAGCTCTAAGGTAAACAACCTCAGTCTGCCCAATCAGTCTGCATAACATCAAGGCTGTGTTTGACCGAGTGTGGCATCGAAGGGGAGCCCTAGCCAAACTGCAATCAATGGGTGTCAGGGAGAAAACTCTCCGCTGATTGGAGTCCCACCTGACACGCAGGAAGATGGTTATGGTTGTTGCTGGAGGTCAGTCACCTCAGCTCCAGGACATCCCTGCAGGAGTTCCTCAGGGCAGTGTCTGAGGCCCAACCATCTTCAACTGCTTTGTCAATGACCTTCCGTCCCAGCATCGGGTCAGAAGTGGGGATATTCGCCGATGATTGCACAATGTTCAGTACCATTCGCGACTCCTCAGATGCTGAAGCAGTCCATGTCCAAATGCAACAAGATCTGGACAGTACCCAGCCTAGGGCTGTGTAGTGATTGGAACTAGGTGGAACCAAGTAACATCCATGCCACTGAAATGCCAGGCAATTACCATCTCCAATAAGAGACAATCTAACCATCATTCCTTGACATTCAATGGTGTTGCCATCACTGAATCCCCACTATCAACATCCTGGGAGTTACCATTGATCAGAACCTCAACTGGATTCACTGCATAAATATAATGCCTTCCAGAGAAGGTCAGAGTCTAGGAATACTGCAGCAATTAACTCGTGTCCTGACTGCCCAAAGCCTATCCACTGTCTACAAGGCACAAGACAGGAGAGTGATGGAATAGCCCCCAGTTGCCTGGATGGGGGCATCTCCAACAATACGAAAAAAAACTTGATACCATGCACGACAAAACAGCCCATTTGATTGGCATCACACCCATAAACATTCACACACCTCCTCCTGCTCCCTCAGTCAATTTGTTCATCCTCCCCTAACCCCAGACCTCCTCTCCACTGTTTTCCCACTTGCTTATCTCCTCTCTCCTCTTACCTCCCTTCACACTCCCCTCCCCCTCATCTCCCCTCCCCCTCATCTCCCCTCCTTCTCTGCCCTCCCCTTTCTTCCCCCTGTTCCTTGGCCTCCCCTGTCCTGTCCTTTCCCTTCAATTTCCTGTCCTGATCCCTTTCTTCACCTCCTTTTTCCTTCCCTCCTCTTACATTCTCTTCCCTATTCTCTCATCCCTTCCATCCCATCTACTCCCTTCCTCCCTCACCTCCCACACACCTTCCATCTCCTCTGCTCCCCTTCACTCCCTTTCCCTCCTCACCTTCCTTCCCCCTAACCCCTGTCCTTAATGCCCACATCTCCTTAACTTTCTCCTCCTCCTCTACCCTCCTCCTTTCCTCCCCTCCTCTTCTTCCTCTCCTCCTGTCTTCTCTTGCCCTCTTCCCTCCTCCCACCTCCTCTCCTCTACCCTCCAATTGTTCCCCCTCTTTCCCTCTCCTACTGCCTCCCCAGACCCTTATCGCCATCCCTCCCAATCTCCTGCGCTGACCTCAAGTCCCCACCTTCCTGCTCCTCTGCCGTCCCCTCCTCTCCTCCACTCCCTTCTCACCCCCCCCTCCCTTTCTCTCCTCCACCTTCCCCCCTTGCCCCCCCCCTCCCCCCCCTCCCCCTCCCTCTCCCCTCTCCCCCCCTCCTCTCAGCCCTTCCTCTCCCCCCCCAGCCCTCCTCTTTTCCCATCTCCTCTTCTCCCTATCTTCTCATCTTCTCCTCTTCCTTCCCACCCCTCTTCTGCACTTGCCATCTCCCCTCCACCCCTCCCTCTCCTTCTCCCCTCTACCCCTTCCCCCTTCTCCTCTCTCTCCCTTCTGCCCCCTTGTTCTCTTTCCCCATTTCTTCACCCCTTCTCCCACTTCCCCTTCTTCTCTGTTCCCCCATTCCCCTTCTCCCCTCTCCTCCTTTCCCTTCCTGTGTAGTGATTGTAATGAGGTCAGCCAAGTACATCTCATAGAATATGAGTCCCCTGATCGGGGCTGTTAATCTGATCCAATCAGGGAGCCCTCGCTGACAGATATAAACAGGACTGTCAAGACGTCCTGTTCACTTTGAGGTCTGGTCTGAGGGAGCTGGATCGGTGTCAAAAGACTCTCCATGTATAAATAAAGGGTGACGGGCACGACATCCTGCACTTTGCTCCACATCACCTCAGCAATGGAACGCGGAAGAGAAAAAAAATCTCCCAAAGTTTGCACCAGACTGGAATATTCTGTTCAGGCCATCGCTGCTTATCCTCAAAGGAATTGTGTTTGAAATTTTTGTCGTTTGCTCATCTGACGTGCAAGGATGAGCTTAAAATGTGCCTCTTACTACGAAGTGGGCCTCAGTTAGAGTGCGAGTCCTACTCGAAAGAGGCATCATTATCAGCCTGTTGCCATGGCAAAGAATGTGCATCTTTTCTTTCCAGTGCGATGGCTGAATAATATTGGAAAGTATTCCGTACAAGTTTGAAAGCTTCCCCTGATGTCGCATGGGTTACACTTGTTATAAGAGAGAAACTCGCGCACAGGCTCGCTCCCGTTTGCTGGGCCGCTGCCGGACTTTGCGTCATGAAAGAAGTCAAGTCCCAGGCTTGCACACACTGGACCTTGCGGACACAGCATTCGCAGGGTTTCCCATCACATCTCAGAACTCCTTTTTGTGAGGTTTCTGCTCATTGAGATGAGCAGAGTTCATGTTAGGGTTCGCACACTTCCTGTTTCAAACACAGGGGCAGCAGGAACCCGCTTTGGTGTGGTAGACACACAGAATTATAAATTGGTATGCCACAGAAAGGGGCCTTTCAGCCCATTGTGCCTGTTGCTAGCCCTTTAGTTGAATGAATCTGATTCCCCAGCACTTTCCCCTTTTATTCTGCACATTATTTTTTTTCTCCCTTCCTGGAAGCACATAAGAAGTGGGTCAAGAGTAGGCTATTCGGCCCTGTGATACTGTTCAATAACACTTGCATCTTGGTTGATTCCTCGGTATCCAAAAGTCTGACAGTCTCTATTGAATGTACTCAATGACTAGGACAAGGGGCTCACTGCCCCTTGGAGCAGTGAATACCACAGATTCACGAGACTCACAATTGAAATAAATTTGCCTCCAGTTGAAATGATTGACCCCTTATTCTAAGAATGCGACTCCTGGGTCTAGACTTCTCAGCCAGTGGACATGTCCTCCCAGTATTCACCCTGTTGAAGAATTTGCTTGCTTTACATTCGTCTAAACTTCACAGAATCTGGACCTAATCTGCTCTTAGGAAAATCTCTCAGCACAGGAATCAATCCAGTTAATCTTTGTTGTGTCCCCTCTAAGGCAAACATTTTATTTCTGTTTCCCGTCTGTTTCTAATTACATGCAAAAAGCATTGAGTCCAGTTCCATAAGTCCTGATTTGTGAAGGAACCTCTCGTGTGACACCTTTTACTGAATGCTTTCTGAAAATCCAAAAATCTACTTACTAATCTAGTTAGCTATGACCTCACATAACTCTTAACAGGTCTGTCAAACACACTGTCCCTTTTATAACTATGTGTTTGTTCTGTTCTGATTTTCTAAATGCCCTGTCACCACATCCCTGATAATAAACTCTTAACATCTCGCCTGATGTTGATATTGCATCAACAACGGGTCCATAGTTCCCTGTTTTCACTCTCCTTTCCTTCTTAAAAAGCAGGCTATTTTATCCAACTCCCTTTTGAAAGTTATTTTTGAACCTCCTTCCGTCACCTGTTGAGGCAGCTCCTTCCAGTCAAACTCTCAGTGTAACTGAAGAAAGCACTTCATGGTTCCCTCTCATTCCTTTGGAAATTGTCGTCAAATTCCTGTTCTCGAGTTCCGATTGGTTCTCCTGAATGCTGTTCTCAACATTCCTCTCAGACCTCTTCCACAGTAAGCTGAAGATCTCCCATCACCTTCCACTGCCTCTCCTCATTCCTCTTACACTTTATTTTTGCCTGCCCAATTTAATCGTCCATGTTCTCCTGAAGACAGTCTCCTCACTGTACATTGTACATTATGCAAACTGTGATATATGTTAATGCTTTCTGGACCTGGGTAGGCAGGAAGTCACAGCAGTGATCCTAATACAAATTGCTGGGGCCACCACTTTACACTTTCCTCCTGTACAGGAAAATACAATCTTGCAACACAGTTTTCTGTCAACTGTCCCAATCAGCTTTTTATCCACATTGCTGTTGCTCCTTTTAATCCCACTGGCTTCTTGTTTGCTGTATTGTTTGGCCCTTTGTCAAATGCTTTTTGAAAGCCCGACGAAGCAATATCAACTCCCCGCCCCAGTCCCTTCACCAGTCCTCTCTGTTACTTTCTGCAGTGCATCTTGTAGACGGTACACACTGCCGCTACTAGTGTCAGTGGTGGAAGGAATGGATATAGTGGATGGCGACTGAAAATCCTGTGTGTAGCCTTCCTCCCAGAAAGAACACCCCCCCACCCCCGCATCCTTCCATCTCAGAGAGTACAGTAGGTGAGAGGTGAAGTTACGTGAAGTACTGGAGGCAAGTTCAACAGTTGGATGTGCGAAGTGGAGGGGTAATATCCCTATAGAGCTTAACAACAGTAATGCAGAGGCTTAGGATCAGAGACAGATCTCATCACTGCCTTGGTGTGCATGTACACCAGTCCCTTAAAGTATCAGGACAGGTGGAAAAAGTGGTTAAGAAGGCATGTCGGATAGTCGCCTGTATTAGCTGAGGCACAAGAGTTTATAACAGCAGGGGAGTTATGCTAGAACTGTATAAAATGTTGGTTAGGCCACAGCTAGATTTTGTGTGCAGTTCTGGAGTTTACGTTATAGGAGGAATGTGATAGTACAGGAGAGGGAGCAGTGGAAATTTACCTATTGCTTGGGCTGGAGAGTTTCAGTTAGGAAGAGAGATTTGATAGACTAGGGTTGTTTTCCTTACAGCGGAGGAGTCTGAGAAGGGGCATGATTGACATGTAAAAAATTATGAGGGGCATAGATAGGATAACAGGAAGAAAACTTTCTCCTGATGGAAGGATCAGTAACCAAAGGACAGAGATTTAATGTAAGATGAGGAAGATTTAGACGAGATGTGAGGAAAAATAGGAATCTGGAGCTCACTGCCTGTAGGGGTGGTAGAGACAGAAACCCTCATAACATTTGAGATATTTAGATATGTACTTGCAATGTTAAGACATACAAGGCTATGGGGCAGATGCTGGAAAATGGGATTAGAATATTCAGGTAGTTGTTTTTGATTAGCGTGGACACAATGGACTTAAGGGCCTTTTTCTGTGCTGTAGATCTCTATGATTCTATGATCAGAGGGACAGTGATCCAGGAGGATCAGAGGGAGATCTGATCACTGCCTGACCCAGTCCCAGGAAAGGATGATTGAGGAGGCTCCGAGGGAGAGCTGATCACTACCTGAAGCTCAGCCAGAAAGTCATAGATTGTTCTCCCGTCTCTCCCACCCTCTGGTCTCTCATCCTCCATAATATGATCAAGCAGAGTCAGTACGACTTCATGAAGAGGAAATCATTCCTGACATATTTAATACTGTCATTTCAGGAGATAACAAGCAAGATAGATAGAGGGGAACCGGTAGATGTAATATATTTGCATTTTCAAAAGACATTTGCTGAAGTAATGCACATAGGGCTACTTAATAAGCTGACCATTGGTGTTGGAGGTAATATATTAGCATGGATAGATGATTGGCTGACAAATAAATGACAGCAAATTGGGATTCCCTCTTGGAATTCCCTCCCTAATGGCATTGTGGGTCTGACTGCAGCAGTTAAAGAAGGCAGCTCACCACCATCTTCTCAAGGGCAATTAGGGGCAGGCAATAAATGCTGGCCCAGCCAGTGATGTTTACATCCCACAAGTGAATATATTTTTAAAAATGGACAGATTCAAGCTGGCAAGCTGTAACTAGTGGTGTGCCACAGGAATCAGTGATTGGATTAAAATTATTTACAACATATATCAATGACTTGCTGGAAGAAAGTGAATGTACTCTCACCAAGTTTGTGGATGACGCAAAAATACATGGGAAGGCAAATGCCGAGGATCTGTTTACATTAGGTTCATGAGATGAAGGGTTTCTGTTGTTTCATGTGATACACTCATCTGACCTCCCCTTTTCCCTCAGGATCATTCTGAGGTTAGACAGAAAATGTTCTGGGATAGTCGTATTCCTGAGATTCATCCATTCTCAATAAGCTCTGCTTCTGCATTGTTCCCAGTAACTCAAGTGCATCATATTATTCTGCTGCCAAGGGGAGGTGACGGCCTAGTGGTATTATCACTGGACTGTTAATCCAGTACCCAGCTGATGCTCTGGGGACCTGGGTTCGAATCCCACCACGGCAGACGGTGGAATTTGAATTCAATAAATATCTGGAATTAAGAGTCTAATGATGATCGTGAATCCATTGCCGATTGTTGCGAAAAACCCATCTGGTTCACTAATGTCCTTTTAGAGAAGGAAACTGCCATCCTTACCTGGTCTGGCCTACATGTGACTCCAGACCCAGCAACGTGGTTGACTCTTAACTGCCCACTGGGCAATTAGGGATGGGTAATAAATGCTGCCTGGTCAGCGACACCCTCATCCCATGAATGAATTAAAAAAAAACTATACCTTTCAAAGTTGCAAAGCCCCGTTGCTGATAAACAAAAAGGTAGAGGTCAATTAAGAGTTTAATTGCTGTTTGTTTAGATTGTGCATGCTCATCAGTTACAGAACATCATTCAGAAGCACCCAGCCTCTTAAAGATTGTGGCAATGTCAAAAACCACATGAGGTGCATCACACACTGACTTATGGTTTCCGTGCGCTGTTGGCTCTCAGTGCCCCTGGGCCAACAGTGAGTAAAGGCGCTATAGTTATGCACGGATAACTTCCGCCCAGTCAACCTCACTGCCTCTGTCAATATTGGGTGAAGACAAAGACCATGGTTAATGTTGCCCCGTGGTAAAAAGGCTCAGCCCCAGTCACAGACACATGAGGGGTGGCCAGTTGTGTGAGAGAGAGAGAGAGAGAGAGAGAGAGAGATAGAGATAGAGATAAGGGGTTTAGGATCAAAGGCCAAGAAACCCAGCAGATGTCAGTTGTCCCCAGCCTGGCTCACGCACCTTCTTTTGTTTTCAGCAACAAGCAAACTTGATCCCGGGGTTGAATTTAAATACCCTGGGGATTTTCTCGTCCGGACTGCCAGTACTTCCATCGACAAGTCGGCCCCGTGGAGCTGCCTCTTCCTACAGTCCGTTTGTGGTGAGTCTCCTTCTCTCCCCCCACTGCGTCTAGTCACTTGAAGCAGCCAGACAGACGTCACTCTGAATCGTGGGGGTCATGATCTCACAATCCGACAGCGCATGCCCCCACTGCAGGGTATCACGTGATAGAACCAGCTCCCCCTCGCCCCCCCACTTCCCGCTGCATCACAGGGTGGAGAACGCACATGTTTCCCAGAGGCTCCTTTTGCCTCTTTGAGCTGGAGAATAAGGTCAGGTTATCGAGCTGGCTAAAGAACTGGACAGTCGTTTGTGCCTGTGAGTGTCAGTCATTGTCATTGTTGCTCAATGGGCTTCTGTCCTTTTGGTATTGATTCCTGTCTGACCCGACTGGCCAGGGGCAGGGGCAGTCTGCTTCATTGACCTCTTTTTGCGATTCAGTGATAATCCAACTTGACTGGTTTAGGCTCAATGAGTAGAGGCTTTTCATTTATATATTGCCTTTCATGTCCACCTCAAGACATTGCAATGTGCTTCACAGCTAGTGAAATACTTTCTGATACGATCAACAAAGTCCCACAAATAACAAGAAAATTGAACCAGTGAAACTCGTTGCTGTGTTTCAAATTGAGCAGTGGATTTTTTTTTAATATATGCCAAGCAGGAACCTGCCCTCCGACCCTGCTGTGCTACATCAGCTTGGAATTCTGTGTTCACATTCCGGACGACAAGGTGATGACCTTGTGGGGATGTCACTGGGCTAGCAATCCAGAGAATCTGTGCTAATGCCATGGGCACACAGGTTCAATTCCCACTCCCGCAGCAGCTAATAAATCTGCCATTAAAGCTGCTCTCAATATTGGAGACCATGACAACTAGCCCCAATTGTATTAAAAGTGAATCTGGTTCAACAGTGCCCCTTAGGGATGGAAATCAGCCGTCCTTACCTGGTCTGGCCTGATGTAACACACAGCAGCATGGTTGACCAAAATCGGTGGTACAGTGGACAGTGAAGAAGGTTATCTAAGATTACAAAGAGATCTTGATCATTTGGGTCAATGGGCTGAGGAGTGGCAGACAGAGTTTAATTTGGATAAATGTAAGGTATTGCATTTTGGTAAAACAAACAAGGGCAGGATTTATACAATTAATGGTAGGTAGTTTTGTAGAACAGGGAGACCCAGGGGTTCAGGTACATAATTCTTTGAAATTTGCATTGCAGGTAGACAGGTTAGTTAAGAAGAAGCACACTTGCCTTCATTGCTCAGACCTTTGAGTATAGGAGTTGGGACCTCATGTTGAGGTTGTACAAGACTTTGGTGAGGCCACTTCTGGAGTACTGTGTGCATTTCTGGTCACTCTGTTACAAGAAGGATATTATTAAATTGGAGAGAGTTCAGAAAAGATTGATCAGGATGTTGCTGGGGATGGAGGGTTTGAGTATAAAAATAGGCTGGGACTTTTTTTTACTGGAGCATAGAACATTGAGGTGTGACCTTATAAATGTTTATAAAATCATGAGGGGCATAGATAAGATGAACAGCAAGGGTCTTTTGACTACGGTGGGGTGTTCAAAAGTAGGTGGCATATTTTTAAGGTAAGATGAGAAAGTTTTAAAAAGGACATGAGGAGCAACTTTTTAACACAGAAAGTGGTTCATGTTGGAGTGAACTGCCAGAGGAAGTGGTGGAAGCAGGTACAGTTACAACATTTAAAAGACATTTGGGTAAGTACATGAACAAGGAAAGGTTCAAAGGGATATGGGCCAAATGCAGGCAAGTGGGTCTAATTGAATGGTCAACGTGGACTGGATGGACCGAAGGGTCTGTTTCCATGCTGTATGACTTTGTGACTCTTGACAGCTGTCTCAAATGACCCAGCCAGCCACTCAGTTAGAGGTCAGCTAGGGACAGGCTGGCCTTATCAGTGATGTCCACATCCTAAAAGAATTAAAGACAAGTCAGATGGCCTTTTCTCTTGGGTGTGGGCGTATTTGGAGGCCAAGTTGACTGTGGCGATTCCTTTTCAGTCTTGTTTAGGAAAGACACAAATCTCCAGAAGTGTGTCAGCCAGTTCCAGGGTGCAGGCTTCAGTTCCGTGCTCTCCACATGGATTTGACTGTTTGAGTTGTCACATAGTGTGGATGCTTTAAAAAATGTGTTGCTGATCTCAGAGCGCCTTCAGGAAGGTATTGGGCATTACCCTCACTGGGTGTGAGCAGGAAAGCACATGGGAACATATCTGATCGATCAGACTTTCCTTCGAAGCCCTCGATAAAGCCCGAGGCCAGAAATAAGTGCTGCCTGTTGAAGCAGAGCCTGGGTCATTCCACTGATGTCCCTGTCTGCACTCTAAATGTGGAGGCAAGCTACAGTAAGCAGTGACCTGAAGGAGTGTCATGCATTTGTCCACCACTGCCAGAGACAGTCATGTGCTGGCACTCTGCCAATTGATAATGGGGATGAAGGTTTACTGTTAATCTTGGGAGTCAGCAGGAAATACAACCCTGAGGTTCATTAAAAGTCCCAAGAGAGTGCCCCCCCTGCCAAAAAAAGGAAGCTGCCATTGATAGCTGTGATGGCAGGCATCACCCTCGTCTAAGTGATAAGCTGCCACTTGGACTGCTGTTAGAAGGTGTGCTCCATGTCTAGAGGCATTCATTCTCATCTCACTGCAGATGTCCAAGGGTTTTGGCATTTCACAGTGAGTTAGAAACAATCCACTGTTGCTTCGAACTTGCCATCACAATGTGAAGGAATACTTCGCATCGAAGAGGCCAAGCTGAAAATGCTCAGGAAACATCACTACCACAGTTTGGCCCCAGAATCCGACCGGATTGTGGAGATACAAGAAGGGTTTGGAGTCCGTCTGTAACCTGAGTCAGACACTGTTACAGTTTTAATGTGTCAGCTCTGTCATGAGAGATAGCTGAGGCTTTACATCAGTCAAAGATCTGACCAATTATTCTCCTGTATTATGCTACCTAGCTGAGCAACTTGGTTGAGTTCCGTATGCGTTTATGTTCTGAAGCTCTGTGCTTCCAATGTGGCTTCAGGAATGAAACTGGGCCTCTAATTCTCTCCGCATGCCTCACAAAATTCTATTTACAGATTTGTTGCTTTCTTCTGTCCATCTTTGTCTCTCTCCCCATCTGCCTGTTGGCCTCATAGAGGTCTACAGCACTGAAAAAGACCCTTCAGCCCATTGCAAACTGTCTGCCTGTCTTTGTGCGTCTCTCTGTGTGTTTCTCCATCTGTGCCTGCCTCTGCCTCTTGTGTGTGTGTCTCTGCCGCTGTCCGTGTGTGTGTCTCTGCCGCTCTCCGTGTGCATCTCTCTGCCTCTCGGTCTAGCTTGCTACCGTTTCCTTCTCTCAGTATTTCTCCCTACACTATGTTTATCTTTCTCTAGCTCAATCTCACTCTGCCCCCTCTCTCAATTCTCTCTCTCCTTTATCTGTCTTGCATTTTTCCCTGTCTTCCACTGAAACTTACACTGTCTTTTTCTATCGCTGTATTTCACTATAACTCTATTTCGCACTGTGCAGATTGATGAATCAGCGCATCAAGGTTGTTTAACCAGATACCCCTTGTCCACTGTGAGTGGATTGAGAGGTACTCCAGCAAAAGCAGACAACACAGATTTTCTATACATCGGCCTGCTCTGCATCGCAATCTAAGGGTTTGCGAGTGTGTCTCTATAGCACCCAGTCCTGGTCTGTATGGGAGAACCCAACATAGTGCAGGTTTTCTCCTGGTGTCACTTGGATCTGATTCCTGTTCCTAAGTGACTCCTGATTGGAGAAGTGGGTGAGCAGTTTTTCTCAATATAATAAATATAACGACTTGTACCAAACCAGGAATGACTGATGTGTTTTTCCTCTCCTAATGTAGAGTCAACTGTGCTACCCTGGTGCCCTGTACAATACACCTGCAGTCGGTACAATGGCCCAGCTGTATTCTGTAAGTGTAACACTCTGAACAAGTGCCAAAGAGGCACAACTTTATACACGTGTACATACCCCCTCCTGCCTTGCCTACACACTGAGCTCTCACTGACCTCCTCCTCTGCTCTCCTATCCCTCCTTGCTGCTAAATCCAGCCGCTGTCGCTCCCACACTGAAAATTAAAACCCTCAGTTGCTGAGTCCACTGCTAACTCCACAGAGCCTCTGTCCTCAGTCTGAGAGCTAGTAAACCACAATAGTGGGCTGGCTGGGACAACACACGCATAATCCGAGGTGCATCACACGAGCGCTCCCGAAACCAGCTTCACACAAACCACAACAAAGGCACGGTCACAGAGGAGGCCAGCAGCTTAATGGAAGAAGAGGTATTAAGGAGCATTTGGACAGAGGCAGAAAGGTTTCTGAGCTTAGGGTCACAGGCTGAAGGCACAGCTGTGAGGACTGCGTGCCACCCTCTAAAGAGGCACAACCTTGTGGGAGCGCTGAGAGTGGGAGAGTTACAGGGCAGGTCAAGGTTAGAGAGGAGGATGAGTGCAGAGAATGGGAGGGTTGTAGTGGAGGATCAGGTTAGAGAAGGACAAGTGCAGAGAACTGGGAGGGGGGTAGAGCCGGAGGAGGAGGAGTGTAAAGAGCTGGGACAGTTAACAGGGAAGGAGAATGTCAGAGCAGAGGAGGAGAGTTATTGTGGATTTGGACAGCAATGATGAGGGTATTATATTTGGACGTGTAGCCATACGGGGAGCCAGTGTACAACACAGTGCAGTAGTGGTCAGAGAATGGGATATGTTAACCTTTGGGATATAGGGTTTGGTTGAATTGTGTGGTTGTGGAAGTCGGCTGTGGGGTCAGGTTATCAGCCCGCTTGCATAGTTGCCCATAATGCTTTTCCCCAGACTGCATTAGTGTCCGTCATGCTGTGCCACAGCCTGCATTAGTGGCCTTAATGTCTGCTCAGCTACAATAGTACCTGTAATGCTGTACTCCAGCCTGCACGAGTACCTGCCATGCTGTGCATCAGCCTGTACTAGTACCTGTAATACTGTGCTCCAGCATGCATTAGTACCTTTCATGGCATGTCCAACCCTGCATTCGTGCCCTTAATGCAATGCTGCAGCCTGCACTAGTGTCCGTAGTGCTCTGTCCCACCCTGCATTAGTACCTGTAATGCTGTTATTATGCCCTTCTGCTGTGTCCCACCCTGCATCAGTGTCCATTATGCTGTGCCCCAGACTGCATTAGTATTTGTAATGCTGAGCCTCGTCTGCATTAGTGCCTGTCTTGCTGTGCCCAGCCTTCATTAGTTCACATTTCTCTGTATCCCACCCTACAATAGAGTCTGTAATGCAGTGGCCCAGTCTGTATTAGAGCCCATAATACTGTGTCCCAAGCTGCATAAGTGTCTGTAATGCGTTGCCAAGTCTGCATTAATGTCCTGGACTGCATTAGTGCCCTTAATATTGTGCCCTAGCCTGCATCACTGTCCATACCGCTGGACCCCAGCCTGCACTAGTGCCTGTCCTGCTGCACCCTGCGTTGCATTACTGCCTGTGATGCTGCACCCTGGCCTGTATTAGTGCACATTTTAATGTGTCCCAGCCTGCATTTGTACCTGTAATGCTGTTCCCCAGACTGCATTAGTGTCCGACATGCTGTGCCCCAGTGTGCACTAGCGCTCATAATGTGCCTGGGGCGGGGGTGAGGTGGGAGCTATGCCCATGCTCGCGTTTACAGCTTCAGGGTGACATTTCTTGTCTGGGCACTGGGTTAACTGCGCACAGTGTGTGCACCTTCCATCCCAGCTGGAGGTAAAAGGTATGCTGTGAATTTCTTACTGCTCTGTGAGTTGCTCGAGATTTAGGAAAAAAACAGCCTTATTCTGTACTTGCATTGTGTGGTACCTGCCCTGGGAGTAATTGTTGGTGAACTGAGCTCACCCTCAGCTCCATCTTCTTGGGGGAAAAATATTGAACTATGAAAAACCCCAAAATCCCCTTGCACGGAGGTTATATGTTGGCCTCATTCTCTCAGATCTACAGTCATCTGTAATTGGTGAGATGAAAGCCTGTTTTCCTGTTGGGATGTGTGGGTCTAATCTGCAGGGAGCTCAAAACTTCTGCAGAATGTCCAGTGCAGGGAAATGAAAACAGCGAAGCAATGGGCAAATCTGAGCACAAAACAGGGAAAACATTGCTGTGTTTCTGACACCATGCTGCCCCGCAGAGTGTTTGAAGAGAACTGTGGAGAGGGAGCTTTGCTCTGTATTTAACCTTTTGATGCACCTCCTGGGAGTGTTTGACGAGGACAATGTATAGGGAGCTTCACTCTGTATCTAATCCCATACTGTACCTGGCTTGGCAGTGTTTGATGAGGACCGTGGAGAGGGAGCTTTGCTCTGTATTTGCACTCTGCGGTACCTGACAGTGATTGTTGGCGACAGTGTAGAGGCAACACTGTGTAGTACCCGTCCTGGGAGTAATTATTGACGACAATATAGAAGGAGCTTTTCCCTGAATCTGTGCTGCAGCTGACTTGGAGTATTTGACTGGGACAATGCAGAGGGAGCTTTAGTCTGCATGCAACCCTGTGCTGCTCCGGACCTGAGAGTGTTTGATGGAGACAGTGTCCAGGGACATTTATTTTCTGTTTAAAAGAGTAGAGGGAGCTTTACTCTATCTAATCCTATGCTGTCCCAATCCTAGGAGAGTGGTTAATGGGGACAGTGCAGAGATAGCTTTACTTTCAGCTTAAAAGAGTAGAGGCAGCTTAACTCTGTATCTAACCCCGTGCCGTGCCTGCCCTTGGAGTGTTTGTTGGGGACAGTGTAGAGGGTCTTTACTTTCATTTTAAAAGAGTAGATATAGTTTTACTTTCAGTTTAAACACGTAGAGTAAGCTTTACTCTGTGCCTAACACTGTGCTGTCCCTGCCCTGGGACAGTGTTGAAGGAGTTTTACTTTCAGTTTATAAGAGCAGAAGGAGCTTTGTTGTCAGTTTAAAAGAGTAGAGGGATCTTTACTGTCAGTTTAGTGGAATAGAGGTAGCTTTACTGTTAGTTGAGAAGAGTAGAGGCAGCTTTACCTGTAGATTAAAACTGTAGAAAAAGCATTGCTTTCAGTTTAAAAGAGTAGAGAAAGCTTTACTTATTATCTAACCCCTTGCTGTTCCTGTCCTGGGGGTGTTTGTGGGGGACAGTGTAGAGGATGCTTTGCTTTCAGTTTAAAAGACTGGAAGGAGCTTTACTCTGTCTTTAACTGTGTATTGTATCCGTGCTGGGAGTATTTGATGGGAAGCTTGGAGAGGGAGCGTTTCATTCTGTCTAACCCAGTGCTGCCCCTGTCCTGGGTGTGTTTGATGGGGACAGTGTCGAGGGAGGTTTACTTTCACTTTAAAAGATTGAACGGAGCTTTACTTTCACTTAAAAATAGTACAGGAGGCTTTACTGTGTATCTCATCATGTGCAGTGCCTGTCCTGTGAGTGTGTGATGGAGATAGTGCAGAGGGAGCTTTAATCAGTGTCTAACCCTGTGATGTACCTGTCCTGAGAATGTTTGATGGGGACATTATAGAGGCATCCTTACGGTGTACTTGCACTGTGCAGTACCTGTCCTGGGAGTGATTGTTGGAGACAGTGTAGAGCTTTTCTCTGAATCTAACCCCGTGTTGTATCTGCTGTTGGAGTGTTTGATGTGGACGGTGTAGAGAGAGCTTTACTCTTTATCTAACCCTGTGCTAGGTCCTTAGAAGAGCAGTCATCGAATCATTATGGCACAGGAGAAGGCCTTTTAACCTATCATTTCCATGCTGGCCCTCTGAAGGAGCAAATCCTGTTGTTTTGCCACACTATTCTGCCTCCACATCTCTGCACATTCATCCTGTTCAGATATTTAGCAATTGTAGAGTGTTTCACAGCATGGATGGAGGCCGGTCTGCCTACCGTAGCTATGCCAGCTAGAAAACGGGTCACCCGTCTGATCCCATTTTCCAAAAATTGGTTCTTAGGTTTGCAGGATTTAAATGAGTTGAGAGTTTCAGCTTTGACTACCCTTTCCAGACTCCTGGGTTACAAAACTTTTCCTCATTTCCCTTTTATTTCCCCTACCAGTCACTGCAAATCTGTGCCCTCGAGTCTCTGACCTCTCTGCTAAGATAAACAGACCCTTGCCATACATTTTAACCAAGCCCTTCACACCTTGTATAACTCAATCAAATCTCCTCTCAATCTCTTCTGTTCCAAGGGGAACATCCCCAGTCTATCCAATCTTTCCTCTTCATAGCTGCATTTATCTAGTTGTGCAACATCCTTGTAAATCTCCTCTTTTCTCACTCTCGCGCAATCACGTCCTTTCTGTATTGGGGTGACCAGATCAGGTTAACCCCATTCCCCTTACTTTCCTCATAGCCTTTGCAGATTTGTGCTTTCCAGTTATTCATTAGTTTGTTTGCACTACATTTCAAACTGTGCACTCCACGTTGTCATAGCTCACCAGGGGCAAAGAAAATCTTCCTCCCCTCCCTTCTGGTTCTTCGGCCAACTGCGTTGAAATGTGTATTTTCTGATTTATGGCTGTCCCTCCCTCAGACCACTGCTGTGTTCTCATGATGATGAGGTCTTGCTTAGTTAGATGCTCAACATCGCCTTTTGCCAAGACACAGACGAAGCGTAGTGGGTCGAAATGACAAGGGTACGAGCTGCACCTTCCCTGCTGTGAAGTCCCTTTGACCTTATGATGGGGTGCTGGAGGATGGGTATTCATCACCTCTGTTAGAGAAGGTGTCAGACATGGGGTACTGGAGCGTCATGGGCTGTGTGCTTTCTAACAGCTTCTGTCTGGGTTGTCATAGAATCGTAGAGACATACAGCATGGAATCAGACCCTTTGCTCCAACTCGTCCATGCTGACCAGATAGCCGATATAAATGTAATCCCATTTGCCAGCATTTGGCCCATATCCCTCTAAACCCTTCCTATTCATGTATCCATCCAGCTGCCTTTTAAATGTTGTAATCGTACCAGCCTCCGCCACTTCCTCTGGCAGCTCATTCCATTCACTCATCACCCTCTGCGTGAAAAAGTTACCCCTTAAGTCCCTTTTATATCTTTCCCCTCTCACCTTAAACCTATGCAGTCTAGTTTTAGACTCTGTCACCCCAGGGAAAAGATCTTGTCTATTTACCCTATCCATGCCCCTCGGGATTTTATAAAAGTCTATAAGGTCACCCCCTCAGCCTTTAATGCTCCAGTCTATTCAGCCCCTCCCTATAGCACAAATCCTCCAACCTGGGCAACATCCTTGTAAATCTTTTCTCAACCCTTTGAAGTTTCACAACATCCTTCCTATTGGATAGTGACCAGAATTGCACGCAATAGTCCAAAAGCGGCCGAATCAATGTCTTGTACAGCCACAACGTGACCTTCCAACTCCTATACTGAATGCAGTGACCAATAAAGGCAAGCATACCGAATGCCTTCTTCAATATCATGTCTGCCTGCGATTCCACTTTCAATGAACAGTGAACCTGCACTCCAAGGACTCTTTGTTCAGCACCACTCCCCAGGACCTTACCATTAAGTGAATAAGTCCTGCCCTGATCTGCCTTTCCAAGATTCAGCACCTCACATTTGTCTAAATTAAACTCCATCTGCCACTTCTTGGCCCAGTGGCCCAGCTGATCAAGATCCCATTGTACTCTGAGGTAACCTTCTTCGCTGTCCACTACATCTGCAATTTTGGTGTCATCTGCATCTGTCATCTGGTTGTGTTTTTGTTCAGCTCTTTTTTTGTATTTTGTTGATGTGTGTGTGTGTGCGTGTGTGTGTGCGTGTGTGTGTGTGCGCGCGCTCTTGTGTTGAGAGGTACTGGATATCCCATTATGAAGCTGTGGGTAACAGCATTGTCACAATGCAAATGGAGGCCATTCAGCTCATTGTGCCTGCACCAGTTTTATTACCTACTGCTGTTAGTGCTACCTGTTACCTCCTGTCTTTTCCCCATACCCCTGCACAACGTTTCTATCCATACTAACCATCCAATGACTCAATTGAACCTGCCTCCAACACATTTTCAGGCAGTGCATTCTTAACTACTCACCCTGGGTAAAAATATTTTCTCAATTGCCCTTGCTTTGTTTGCATATCACTTTAAATCTATGCTCTCTTATTCTCATTCATTTTATGAGTGGGAACAGCTTCTCCCTACTGTTTAAAGCTGTTTACTCCCTTCTGAGAACTAAAACTGAAGCACCCAAAGATGAGCACCTCACCCCATAATCTGTAAAAGGAGTGTGAAAAGTGGAGTAACCTGTCTTTCAGCAACTTCTAGTGGTTAAACAAAATAAATCCCTGACACTCATTTTAAAATCAACAAGTAACAATTTATTTATCTAACTCCAAACGTGAACAAATTAACTAAACTATTAACAAATAAATTCCTTCTAACTACTCACGATTCTCGAATAAAGCAAGATTCTAATGCTATGCTGTTCCAATAAATACAAGTCCCACTTATATATTAAAAAAAGGAATTTAGTCTCTCAAAATTACAGCAGATTACGTGTCTTCCGGAATGTTCTGTGCCTTCTCCGTCGATTCTTCTGCCAGGAATGTTAGCTAGTTGTGCCATTGGAAGAGTTATTTAGATGGTGCTTTCTCTAAGACGTAGAGATGGCTGTGAGAGCCAGTGATTCTGTCTTGAGAGCTGAGGGCCATTAGCTCTGGTGGATGGCTGCTAGCTCTGTGGTCTTTGTCCAGCTGTCCCTTTCTTTTTATACCTGTAATGACAGCAATATTTCTTACAATAGGATTGATCCTATGTTGTCAAAACTGTCAGACTTAAATTTAATGGGCTTTTGGTATCTGAGTGCCTGGTTCAAATTGATTGGCTAAATTTAAAAGCCTGTTTTTTTGGTAAAAAACTGCTAATTGGCCTGCTAACTGTATGGCCTTTCAATACAAATGGTTCAATTTGGGTGCTCTCTGTGTACTTGCAAACTTTCAAGCTGCAGCTCACAGTCGCCCAGTTTAAATCTCTAAACACAGAAAAAGCACATGATCTTTTAAAGGGATCACGCATTGCTTTCCCCCGCTAGCATTTTACAAACACCAAATTCTAACCTTCTGCCTCCCAATCCACAAGTACTCTACCCAACTTCACAACGCTATCTACTCTGTCCAACCTGATGATGATTATCAAATCTCCTCTCAGTCACCTTCTCTCCAGGGTTAATAGCCCCAACTTTTTCAGTCTGTCCTCCTAACTGAAGTTTCTCATGCCTGGAACCATTCTTGTAAATCACTTATGCACTGTCTCCAAAACATTCACATCTTCCCTATGATGTGGCACAAAGAACTGTACACAGTACTCCAGGTGAGGTCTGACAAGTGTGTTTATTCAAGTTCAAAGTCATCTCCTTGCTCTTGTACAGTATACCCACATTATTAAAGCCGACAATACCGTGTGCTTTATTAACTGCTCTGTCCAGCTGACCTACCACCTTCAGTGATCTGTGCACTCAGGTCCCTGTGCTCCTGCAGCCCCTTTAGAGTTGTACCCGCTACTTTATATTGTCTTTCAATGTTCTTCTGATCATAGTGAATCACCTTGCCTCTTCTCTGCACTGAACCTCATCTGCCACCTGTCTGCACACTTCACTGGCTTGTCAATTCCAGCAGACGCTCTTACTTCAACCAACCGGGAGCCCCAAAGAAAGAAACTGGTTTTGTTCAATTCGGATATTAACCAGGGAGAGAGGCATCGACTAGAAGTAGCTCGGTGCCTGTTCTGGCTTTCCTTTCTGCTGCAGTGGTGGGGGGGGATGCTTTTGCGATCTGGAAAGTGCGAGTTTTTGAACTGGTTCGACCCCCACCGTTTTGCACCGGGATAGTTTGCGCTGTCCTCCTTGTTTCGATGTATTCCGATGTGTTTCTTTGTTCCTTCTTGCTTTTTCTCCTCCTCTCTCCACCCTGCCCTTCCCTCGCACTGAGCAGTCATCTCCTTCCCAGCAGACGTCGGAGCAGGAGGTCGTGCACTTGTTCATCCCAACCCAAGCCGTGGGCGCCATCATTGGGAAGAAAGGTCAGCAGATCAAGCAGCTGTCCAAGTTTGCCGGGGCGTCGATTAAGGTAGGTGTCTCCAAGAACCGATGGCCCCCTGCTTGGATGGGTTCCTGTCAACACGCTGCTCCCCTGCTGTTCTGGAGGGTGGTGAAAATGGGAAGGGTGGGCCCCCATGCGTGGGAAGTACTGATTTCCTGGGGGGGAGGGGACAGGGTCTTTAATTCCTTACTCTCCCTCCGCACCCTCAGTCCTCAACGTTCCTGGGTGGTCCTTGGTGACTGAATGTTCATACTTGAAGGAGAACACAGACCAGGTTCAGAGACATTGCCCTCAGATGGGACTGGACCAATAGCCTCTTCAGCAGCTGGTTTTGTAGATTGTGTGGTGTGACTGTACTCTGCTTGTTGTCAGTGCCCATTTCGTGAATGTCCGCTGTTCGCCGGTCTTTATCGATGTAAAAGAGAGCAGGTCCTGACGGCAATCCTTTGGCCAAATTTTGAACCTGCAACCTTGATTGAGATTCACAGACCCATTGAAATGAAAGGAGCCAGAGCTGAGAGGAAGTTGGATTTTAGCAAACCAGAGTGGGTGGATGGCCTAGGAGCCCAGGCCCGTGCAGCAGTGTCTGTGGTAGGAAGGTGACTGGAGCCCAACATCCCAGGCGCATGCAGCAGTGTCTGTGGTAGGGAGGTGACTGGGGCCTAGCATCCCAGGCCCATGCAGCAGTGTCTGTGGTAGGGAGGTGACTGGGGCCTAGCGTCGCAGGCCCATGCAGCAGTATCTGTGCTGAGACCGGTTGTGGATGATGTGGTTTGCCAAATGGGAGCAAAGGTTTCTGGTCGTCTGGTCCTTTGGGTTTCTTTTGCTGAGCTCCACTTAGGAATTTCAGCCTTTGAAAGACAATCCCCTAATGTAACGACCAACTGTAACCAAGTGAGTCAATTTGGTCATTGGGTATGGTATCTGTTTTCCTGAATCACTGGCTTTGATGTAGGCTGCAGTATAACGACCGTACAGTGTTGTGTGGGAGGTCGCCCCCCCCGCCACCCCAAACGCCCCGCGTATAGCCTGCCTTTAACCTCGGTAAAGGGCTGCATTTCTTCTTGTTGTTGTTGTTTGAACCGCCTTTGCAATTTGAGAGATGTGGTGGGAGGAGGCTCAGCCGTGGGGAAGAGAGTCTTGTTTAGACTGTGCTTGGTGACTAGCTCTCTGTTCTACCAGCATGTCAGTGGAGGGGCTGACATACACGGTGTGTGTGGCAACTGCTTTGTCTGGAAACCTTGCTGTCGGACCTCCCAGCGTGGCTAATTTAAAAGCCGGGGTGGGGCTGTGCAGGGGTGGAGTGGGAGTCTGCGGGATGAGCCTGAGGCACGATCAGCACACGGCTCAAAAACAAAATGCTGCCTGTGTTTCTTATCCCCCTCCTCGCAGACCACAATTAAAGCACAGTTTGAAGCTGGAGGTTTTGAAAGCTTGTTCCTGTGTGTTCCCCCATCCGCTCTCTGCCCACACTTTGAATATCCCACTTCCAGAGCCTCCAAAGAGATGAGTTTATCCGATGATCAATCTGCCTCTGAATGCTCTCCAGGGGAAGGGGAGGTGGGTGCTTGTTTGAGGGGGAGAGCATAGCTAACCGTTTCAGATGTGGTGGTGCTGGTGGGGTGAGGTGGGGGAATGCAGCAACTGTCTTGCATTTGTAGAGAGAATCCCCGGCAATGATTGCGAGGTGCTGCCCCTTGTTTTGTTTC